GCTTAGCTTAGAACGAAGTTTCAGGATAGGAAATTGATTGTTGAAAAATGAGGATGTTTAGATTCTTTTTTTATTAAAAATCATGGTTTAATGATAGATTATAAACAGCTATCCAAACAGGCGCTTAGACTTTTAAGTCCGATAGTGAATGGCGTCAAAGTGTCAAACAATAATAAAACTTGGTTTAATATTTAAATGTTGGTTTAATATTCAGCAAAGATTTCTGATCTCATGCGTCCTTATTCATGATATAAATCATTAATTTTTGTTTTACTTTTGTTTCATTGTTCTTGATACATTTAAGGTTTTTTTTTTCCCCATCTAGGCTTAGTTTAGAGACCTATTTGTTGTAAATTTTTTTTAATCTTTTTAATATAAAACTAATTTGTTCGGGTGTGAATCGAAGCAAAACCGACACTTGTCAAACCCTCAGTTAATTGCATATACATTGGCGTAGGAATAGGATAGATCTGATCCCTGCCATCGTTCGTTCATCCGAAACTGTCAAAATTCAGCGCTCTCCACTTCAATCCTACACTTCCAGTTTACTTTTCATATAAGTAGGCAAAAGCTCCGAGTCAAAGCCTAATGCGTCGGTTTGCAGATGCCTGCAGAATCAAACCGGCAGACGGACGGACGGACGCATAGAAAAGAGCGTGCCGAGAGATAACAGGCTTATTTCTTCCCTCTTGTGTGCGTCTTACTGCGACAAGAGAAAAGCCCAAGCCCAAGCCCAAGCCCAAGCACTAGGCTTTTTGCTCTGCGCAAGCTGCAACGTCGAAACCATCGTATCACACGTTCATCCAAAACCATCCAATTCTGCCGTTTCTGAATCCCGACCGCTTCTCTAGATTCAGGTCTTGTCTAATTTCTCGTTACGTTTGGACTAAACTAGTGTAATTTAAATAAACAATTTTTCCTATTCTTGTTATTATTTTATCATTTTAACAGGATTTAAGTTTTTCTTATATGTTGCTGGAAAGCTGGATTTGAAGTAAGAGTCACAGTCACTTGGATTGTTTCGTTGCCAAGCAAGCAGTCGGAAGCCTGCTTCATTGAATGCTGTGGGTCATTATTGATATCTTCGGAAGATTCAGAGATGGGTCAAACAGCGAGTATTGATGCTGCTCCTGCTCCTGCTGCTGTCAAAGATGAAACCACCAAGTCAAATTCCACTTCCCTGGAAACTGCCATTGCTGGTTCTTTCCCTTTCATATCCGTTCTAACTTTGTACCATAATGTGCTATTCTCGATTGCCAAATTCAGGGCATTTGCTTGCTCGTAATGGGCTTGTGTGTGTTCTCAAAATTCCTAGTTGGAGTTGTGGGCTTTCAGCTTTTGCACTTTCTAATTTTCCTGCCTCCTTAGCCATTGTTGATTTATAACGGCTGTTGTTTTTCTCTAATTACAGTTCAAGGACAATTTCACATATTGTCTATGAAGCACCGTTCCCCCCCCCAATTGCATTTAAGTACTAAATATCTTCCGGCATTGCAGTGCTGGGATTGGTTCAGATCTCTTTTCTGTCGCTGTTAGCCAGCCTGCTGGCGTGCTAAAAAACCAACATTGACATGAATATGAGACGATGTGATAAGGATTAGCGCAGCATAATAAGTATATCTATATATATATAATATCTTCACAAGAAGTTTGAAATGATGTGCTGTATGATTTGAATTCAAGTGCAAAAAAACACATGAGTGTTGTTTCTGAGTTATCAATGTTTTACCACAGCCCAGTAATACCACCTCATCAGTGTTCAGTTCTTAGCTTCCACCCCATGCAACAATGGATGGGCCATTTGATTACTGTTGCCTTGACAGCTTGACCGGCTGTTGACACGACTGGCTAGCTATTGCTACATTCACTGTCATGGTGTCAACTGGTTATTAAATGCTGCCAAAAAGCTGAGTAGTTGAAGTCCATGTTCAATTTGGAATCAATGATTTCACTCAGACAAATTTTACTATGGGAATGCCTTATTAAATTAGAGTATATTATAGTCAATAGTTTTGAGTGCTACTCAAACACAGTTTCTTGGTCGCTCTTTTAATTTTTTTTCCGAGACAAATTTAGCATGCTGTGAATCTGTATCATTTGTTCATCTCGGCTCTAAATTTGTAGATGGATGGAACTGTGATGCCGTTTTCATTATTTACAGATGCTATAGCTTATGGAAATGAAGAGACAGAGGTTTGTTCATTTCAAACATATGAATTAACGTGCTTCCAACATGCAATTTGAGTTAATGAAATTGAAATTTGCAAATTTCAGTCTATGAGGCAAAAGCTAAGAAAGCTTTAGACTGCCCTTGCATAGCTGACTTGCGAAGTGGTCCATGTGGAAACCAGTTTTCAGAGGCTTTCCTTTGTTTTTCAAGAGCGCTTGCTGAAGAAAAGGTAACTGGAAATGGGTGATTAGAAACTTGGGACCTGGTCAATACTTCTCTTATCTAGGCAGTGGATTTAGTCTGAAAAATAGCTGTTCTTATTCAAATATTATTGGTGAAATGAGAGGTAGGAGCAGTCGGATCTCCTTTGTCTTTCAATTTAATTTTATGTGAGAGTTCCAATTGCTTTTAGTTTGATTACCTTGCAATAGAGCCTAATGAGAGATGGATGATATTTTAGGAGGCATTTGGTATATTGCTATAGTTTCATTTTTATCTGACATCTTGGATTTCAGTTGACATTTGTGATTTCTGTATTTGTTTAAATTGATATTCAAGATGATGGATATGTCCCAGATGTTATAGGTTCATAAGATCACACCACTTAAGGGGTTATGCTAGTATTTCATTCCACTAAAAAGGTCATAAAAAAGTAAATGTGTCATATCATATCTTTAAGGGTTTCAAACAGCATTTATGAAGTATCAACTTCATTCTTTTTGTGACAGTTCCTATTGTCATACTAGACATGGATTTTCATGCTACCATAGTATGTCAGGTAGCAATTTACCAAAGGCTTCCTAGTCAAGACTCTCCAGAAACTCGTATCTCTTCACCTTGTTTCCCATTTTCTAGGAACCAATAGCATCATCAATGTTTCCACGGTTTTCCAGTTGTACTTGTGTTTCTCATGAGATGCTGTTTTGGCTATAATATATCATACTGGTTGGACACTAATCATACTGTTTCGGGTAGTTTAGAGTTCTACTATTATGGTGGTATGCCTTTAACCACAAGCGCCAAACCAATGAAGGAACATTGAAATTCTCTACATTCTTCCTTATAAATTAGTGTTGAATCATGCTGTTTCCTCTCATGTTTTAGGGCTCGGACTGTGTACATCCATTTGTTGCTCTTCAGATTGCATCAAAGCCAATCCAAAGCCCTCCCCGAAGACATTCTAAAAGAAGATGAAGTTGAAGAGACGGAACCAGCCCAAGAATACAAGATAATCCCTCCCACATGGTCTAAAGAATCTCGAAACCCAAAATCCAAGCTCTAAGAGAACAGTTCAGTTTCCTCCTCTTTTAGGATTCGAACAACTTCTATTAGAGTTTTAGATTATCACAAACTAAAGCTTGTTACTTATACGAAAATAGCTCAAGTTATTTTGGAAGGACTGACTACACAATTTATATATTGTGATTAATTCTCTGATCACTCTATGTAAGATTATCATACATTTAATAAGTTCTTCTTGCTGAATTTGCGTGGATTTTACTGGTTAATAATCAGGATGCGTAAACGGAACTCATATGATCTCTTCTTCATTTGAAATTTAAACAACCTAAATAAAGAATTTTAAATAATACATGAATTTCAAATATAAAACTTGAAATGCATGATTTCAAATCCATAATTCAAATTCAAAATCAACAATCCAAATGCCATCAAAGTTTTGCGAATGCATGAGGATTTAGATTTTAACCAAATCTTTCAATAGGATATATACAAATATTTGAAAGTTTTATATATTATAAATTTTTTTATAATTTTAAATTCTCTCTAGACTCAGGTTATTTGAAATTCCTCCTATCGTAACTCATTTGTTTTTTTTTCTTTTTTTATGTTTCATTATTAGTATCTCTTTTATTTTTGCTACTTCTCATATTTCTAGTTCATGTCTCTTACCAATTGAAGAACAAAGATAAATTTGTCATTTTCAATTTTCTGTTTTAACTTAAAATATTGGTTGGTTTCTCTTTTGCCTTTTAAAATTTTTCACACCTAAATAGAGAATTTCAAATTCAATAATTTTAAATGTAAGACTTTAAATCTAAAATTTAAATTCAAATCTAGCAATCTAAACTCTATCCGAATGAATAATACAAGGGGGGGGCCAGCACCCTCATTCGTCCTCACTCCCGGACCTGTTTTGCTGTTCATTTTTATATTAACTTGATCAAAATATTCATGAATATGTATCAAGGATGATCATTTTTATGGTTACTTTATTTGATTATATATCAATTGGCAATAGACATATTACATATAGAACCCTCGACCTCGATTACGCAATCAACAAATTTTTTAAATAAAAAACTAGGTTTTGAGCGAGTTATTGATTTACACATGAGAATTGATAATACTCTCACAATGAAAAATTCTTGTATGAACCTAAAGTACCAGTCCATCCATACTCTATCTAATCAAATTATATAATGTTTCACCGTAAATATATGAGTCAATATGTCATATGTTAGTATGTTAAGATCAATTTGATGAGAAATCAAACAAGATATAGCGATTAAACAATAAAATTTTTACTTTTGTTTAAGTCAAGCAAAACTAATTGAAATGGATTGATTCAATCAAAATTAAAATTGAATTTAATAAAATGCAACAAAGTTTTTAATCCAACAACCATTTAAGTAAATAAAAAAGCAATCTAAAGTCATTAATCCCTTATTAACTTCATAAACACCATTTTAACCTAATTATTTAATTTCAATATTAATTTCTTAATCGAGAATTTTAATAGTTATAAGTAACTTTTGATTCACTAATATCCTTCTCTCAAACTAATTATATTATGTCTAACAATTATCTAAGAAGCAATTCAAATCAATAACACTTGACAATGGTTATATAGGGCAATTATGTATATGTATATCCTAATTACAAATTAGATAAAAATTTAATCCTATATTACTTAGTCTAATGGTCTAGATGAGATTCTTTTTTGTCAATAAGGAAAAATCTTAATACCCAATATCACATTTAATGTTGACCAATATCAAATAGATATTCAAGTACAAGATTAAGCAATTAAAATTAAGCTTAACTAATAGATAAAAACAAGTTTAATCCATCAATAGGTTTATAGTTCCTATGGTTTAAAGAAAATTGACCACACATAGCTATAGGAATGGTAAAAATCAAGAAACAATTTATCAAAACTAAGAAGAGAAGGAAAAGAAAATCTTAATTGGAGTGATTTTAGATGACAATTACTAAGCTTATAAGAAACCCAAGCTATTCCATGTCATCCATGGCTTCTTCCCTATTCCTTGGACATTTCTTAGCTGATGGAGCTAAGAAAAATCAAAGAATGACGAGCAAAAAACATTGAAAACCCTAAAAATATTAGTTTTCAATGAAGCTGCATGTGCATTTCACTAAGTATCGATTACGTTGTGGCGGCATAATTTTGTTACGTTGCAGACTAAAACCATTTTGTTACACTATCACTGGATATTATGTTCTAGCATGTTACAGGGACGCTATGGCATAAATTTCAACTGTGCCTTTATTTTCATTGTTTACTTACATACAGCATTTTGATTATTGATTTGGACCACCCTACATAGAACACGACACCATTAATGCAATTTTGACTCAAGTAATGATTTCATTTCAACAAGATGCTATCAATTCTCCTTCTCATTTTTAAAAGCATTTTTCTTATATTTTTCTCAAATAATAGTCTCACTTGCTCCCAAAATTATTTAGATGTCTCCAAATTGAACTCAAAATTATGTAATAACATATAACATATATTAGTCATCACAGTTTAATAATAAAAAAAAATCTTATGTGTCATTATTTTAATGATTTTATTCTTAGAATAAAATACCTATTTAATTTATTGTCTTTTAATTTTTTTCTCTTTATCATCACCCATGACAAAATCAATTTATAATTAATTAAAGCCCCTTCGCATGACATGTTTTTATTGAATAGTATGTAAATAATGTGATGCACCGAACATGCAAAAATTTCTCCTCTCACAATAATGTAGAAAATGAAATTAGTAAACTGTGGTCGTCATTTCTTTCAATTATGCGAACGTAATTATAAATTTATAATGTATTTGGTTAGATGATCTCCGATCATTTCCAAGGGTATGATTTACTATATAGAGGACATGATTTAATGCAATTGCTCTACATACGGTGGAGGCCGACCATTTGAAGGACATTTTGCATTGCGGTATATATGAATGGAATAAATTAAATATAGAGGCATTATTTTAGTGCTGAATATAGGTTTGTAATTCCAAAGCTTGATCTTTGGATATATTATTTAAAGAAAAAACATGGTAAGACAACTTGAATATCTTGCTATAATCAATCTCGGTTGGGTAGGTTGAATGTATGGAGGTATATGTAGGGAATTATTTGGGCAGGATAGGGTAGGTTTGATAGGACTCATATCATTGAAACAAATAGCATTCCGTGTTAAATCTAGTGTATTTTGACAATCGTTTCCTCATCTAATTCAATTCACATAGCCTGAGCAACTTTGCTTTCAAAATCGTTATATAATTAGCTCTTCACGGCCACAACTATACGTTTTGAGAATATTATAAATTAAGAAAATCAGCTTGTTATTCCAAAGCTTGACCATTGCATATGCACAGAAAGCCAACATTGTCTCTTTGATAGCCCTTCATGTTAACAAATGTTGCTCCATCAAATATCTATTTTAAAATTTCTTTTCATATCTACTTCAATTCACGCCCTATTTATGGAGCCACTCTTTGCGTGTTCTGTGAATATCACAAAGCAAATTAAAGATCATCAATGGCTGGCTTCAGTGAGAAGGAAGAGGCTCTGATCAAAAGCTCATGGGAGGATTTGACCAAAAACTTTCCAACTTTTAGCTTTCATTTCTTCACCCTGTAATTGTTTAATTTATTTCCATACACACAACTTCCTTTCCTTATTTGTCTCCAACTCCATTCTCTTTAATAATTCACTAATAATACATTAATTAATTTAATCCTTTTTTTTAATTGTTTATACATAGGCTGGTGGAGCTTGCACCTCCGTTGAAAGACCTGTTTCCTTTTCTAAAAGGCTCAAGTAACGTTCCCAAAAAAAATCCTCAACTAGAGGCCCAAGCCTTGAAGGTTTTTAAGTTGGTGAGTTCATGAAAATACTAAAACATTCAAGTGAAGTAGAGGTCTTCCAGTCAATCTAGAGAGAAATTCAATTCTTTTGGTTGTTCATAAATGGAAAGATACTTTTGTCAATATATGAGAAGCCATACGATAGATGCAACAGTATAAAAGTGAATTTGTGCCGGTTAGAGCGAACGTCCTGTGCTATTATGATTAATATTAACACAAAGTTTAGCTTGTTTGTTTCATATAATGCATATATTTGGGAATTGTAGACTTTTGATTCAGCAATCCAGCTGCGAGAGAAAGGAGAGGTTGTGATAGCTGATCCTACATTAAAGCAGCTGAGTTCCGTGCATGTCCAAAAAGGAGTCATTGATGCCCATTTCGAAGTAAGGCAAACTAATTTGAAGTATAGTTGAGACTTAGCCTTTTGTTTTGAGATCAGAGCTGGATTAATGAAATGAAGGTGATCTGGATATAGGTGGTGAAGGAGGCACTGCTCAAAACAGTAAAGGAAGCAGCAGGAGCAGCAAAGTGGAGCGATGATCTGAATAATGCTTGGGCCAAGGCACATGATGCGTGGCAGCTTTAATCAAGAAGGGAATGAAAGAAATATAGTGTTCCATATATACTTACTTCTGATTCAAATCGTGAGCTCTCAACCATATATTCATGCCTCTCTCCAACTCTAAAAAAAATTTACAAGCAGATTATAATAATGTACTTTTAAAAAGTCAGTGTGTCCCAACACACACACACGCACGTATGTTTTTAACTATGCATGATCTCTATCTTGTATTTGTGTGAGAAGAAAGTATGCGAGAAAGATATGTGTGCGTAATTTTTACAGCGTGCAATACCTTGGGAAAAAGGATAAATATTGATGTTTTAGTCTAATTACGTTCTCGTGTTAAGCCGCCTTATGTATATATTTATATTCAATTTTATATATATATATATAATATTTATTTTTTAATTTTTCCTTGTTGATTTTTCATGACATAAAAACAATTAATTATCATGTCTACTGTAAAATTTTTAACAATTTCATTTTTAATATAAATTATCATTATTAAATTGAAAAAGATTTCATCTTCCCTATAAGTATTGGAAAATTTAAATGTATCGTTGGGATTTAAAACTCTGTTCAATCT